ATTTTTTAAAATGCTTAGAATGCCTTTATTCATCTGGAACTTAAAATACTTTCCCACTGACTAAATTGTTTGAGAATGACTAAAACTAAGTAATAAAAGGATGGCCAATTTTAGTTGATGATGCTTAGATTTATCAAAACCTTTTTGAAGTGGAAAGATTTTCTAAAGAAAAATATTATTTGAAGGAAAATCAAATAAAGGCAAACTATTTCTTCAAAGAACTAAGAAAAGAGATAAATAATCTTATAGATAATAGAGAGTAATACATCAAATAAGAAATAGAGGAATAACAAAGCAATTATGATAATGTCCTTCTTCAGTATAACAAGATCTCTTATAAAGAAGAACTAAAAGAGGCTCTTTTAAATAACTAATAATAGAGTTAAGAATAAGATGAAATACTCAGACAAATTATTTCAAAGAATATAAAAAATTAACAAATAAATAAAATGCATATTTTAAATTTATTAGCTGAAACCCAAAAAAATAAAATCGACTTTGAAAATTTTTAAAAAATATAGAAAAAAGTTTTAAATTTAATTGGAAGTATTGGAACTGATCAAAATCAAAATAATAGTTAAGGATTTCTATAGTTGGATATAAATGATGTTGGTGAAATAAAATCATCTGAGTTATTAAATAATAAAACTAATCAAAATAGATAAGATTAATAAATCAATCAACATAAATTAGTAACTGAAAAACACAAAGAAAATGAATTTGAAAATGATTAAATAGATCAAGTAAATACAATAAATAAAGAAATAACTTCAAGATATCAATAATTGGATGAAGGGGATTATTTATTAAAGAGAAATATTAATGAAAAAATAGAAGAAAAAAGCTTGTTGGAAAAATAAAATAATTAATCAAGTCCTCAAATGAAAGGCGAATCAAATGATTTGAAATATTTCACAGCATCAAAAAAACAAGCTAATTTTGAATAGCTGTAAATTACAAGGTAAATAAAAAGGATTACTAACTAAAATAATTCAATAAACTTTAATTGAATTTAATCTAATTTATTTTAATTCTTTTAATAAAAATTAAACTTATATTCAAATTTTTTATTTATTATTTTTTATTTATTGAATTTTTTAATGCTATAACAAATAAATTTTAAGATACAATTTTATTGTGTTACGGTTTAAAAACACTGAGATTCTTTTAATAATATTTTTATTTTAGAAACTTTAGAAAAAATTTTTTAAATATGATAAAAATATTTAATTTACAAATAAATAAAAAGAACTTAAATAAGAAATTGAGATTGAATTTTAAATAATAGAAAATATTA